CGGCAGTCTGCGCACAGGCCACAGCACGTGCTAGCGCACGGGCCAAGTAGAAACGGGGTCGCGCCTGTCCTGCGCACTTGGTGCGCTAGAGGTGCGCCTACGATAAAGAGTGCCTCCCGCACTCCCTTAGAGTGCAGAAGGCAAGAATTAGCTATTGAATATACGGCTGCTTCCTCCTGTTAAGAAGATACCTTCTTGCCTGCCTGACTTACCTGGCCTACCTAAGTATACCTTTAACAATAGCCTTTTAAACAATTATAGGCCTATATAGCTAAGTAGGGCGGAAGCTTTATAGTAAGGCGGATTCTAATGCTTGTGTTAAGTAATTATAAGTTATATAATATGCGGGTAAGCCTTAATTAGTTAATTAAGGCTCTACCTTATGCAGAGTTTTATCCCTTAAAATAGCTACATCTTCTCTACTCTTCTTTAGTAATACAACCAACTAAGTCTTAATAAGTAAGCAACAACTTAATAGCTTAACACCTTCTTTAACCTTTATATTAATCCCTTTAAAATTAAGTATGTAGGGGGGATATAACCTGTCCCTTAAATATATTATCTTATAGAGTACTTTGTACTCTGTACTTTACTTGCTTTAAATGTAGCAGTATAGAGTAAAATGTAAGATATATTATACTTATATTTAATCCTTACTTTGTGTAGTGCACAGTTATTATATACGAAGTATGTGCTTTAAAGCAGTTATATTATATTAACTAGGCATAATGTTTACTTATCTAAGAAAGCTAAAGTAAAAGCGTCGAAGTACGAAGTACTATGTAAATGCATTTAGAGTTGCCTTTACTGCATCTTTATATTATAGGGTACTCTGTACTCTTTATACTGCATAGTGTACATGATAACAAATTCGTTGGCACTTGGCTTGTAAAAGCACAGGCGTTGAGGAGGCTAGATTCCGTACCCCCTATACAGAGTATATACGGAAAATAGACTCTGTAGTTCCTATGTATTGGAGGCATATTAGTGGGGATGAGAAAGCATGGGGAATGTATCTTATACGAAAATGCGGAGAAACTTTTGGATAGTCGCGAAGTTGAGGGACAATGCGGGGAGCGAGCCATAAACACCATGTTGCCAAGAAAAAAAAATTGAGTACGAAGTACTCCGTATCACATACTTTGGTCCGAATACGGGGTGATTGAAAGGAAACCCTTAATAAGATCGGCACATGCAAGAGGACTCTTAGATGCCTCGGGACGATGTCAACCGAGTTTTTATAAACCCTCCCTCTCCTAGGGCTTTTGCTTCTGATTGCAATCGACATTGCCCCGCATTCTCATATTGTAGATTTCCCCGAAGTCACCTGACCTCGGCCGCCGAAATCACTAGATAAGACGAAGCCCTAATCTGCGCGCACATTGCGCACAGTCTGGTCTTCAGTCAACTACCCTACGAAATATCATCATTAGATCTTCTGAAGGCCTTAGAGCTTACTACGATACGTGCAAGTGGTCCGGACGTATATCCCGAAAGGATTACCGTACGGGTCTTACACTGGTACAGCGCACACACGAAGTGGCGCGCTACAGGCTAGTGGTGCACGGAGTAGAAGCCACAGTATGGCACAGTGCGATAATTCAATGCCATTGCCCATACGTACTCGTACGGAGTACCATTCAGTGGCATATTACCAGCCGTGTCCTGAAGCCAATCTTACATGCATGACTTACTGCAACCTTACAGCTAAACAGTAAAACCTTGCCTAAGAAAATACTACACTAAACTCCGTACGTCGTACGCAAAGAAGAAACGGCATGCCAAGGATGCCATGAACCTTCAAGAATCAGACACATTATTATACGAGACGTGTTTTAGTTTGTAAGCTACAAGCTGTAAGCTAAGGAAACAAAAAAACAGACCGAGGCGTGTAAAGCTGTACAGGTTTTTTTTCAGTATAGGATAAATTATATGATCATATCAGATCTGTTTCTGTCGTGTTTTCTAAAGTCAAAGCGTTGTGCGCAGCCAAAAGAGCCTTTTTTGTGCGATACTTTCCCCCATAAATTTGATGTTATGCGAGGCGCATAGAACCTTCAGGTCGCGGTTGCGACGCGGTATTACCGCTTAGAAGCGACTTGTAAAACCAGTTGGCAATGCGAACCGTAGGCTCGTCGACTGTACGGGTGACAATATCGGCCACCCAAAGTGTGACGGGCAGGAGGATTATGTGAGGAAGCAGAAATGATATTTCGAGGCCCATCGGTCCAATCCTTGGTAGTGGAAAAATGTTCACATAAGAAGCAAGCATCAACTTGTCAGTGTCAGTTTGACGAATCCAGCCAACCATTGCATACACACGATCCCCCAAAATACACAGGATTGGCCCGTGAACAAGATAGAGAGAGTAAGATATGCGGCCGAGATATTGGCAGAACTGTGTCTCGTAAAATTGACGAAGCCAGGGAATTCGCGGAACACTGGATACTAAGAGATTGGCGGCAAAGAACAGATAAAACCATTTTGGATCGAAAACAGCTTGTGGCTTGAGGAAAGACAGCCAATACCAGCCGGGATTGTTGCGTAGCTTCTCAATGCTATTTGTCTCGGACGGAACGCCGGCGAGATACATACTGATGATGAAGAGTGTGTAGTAGATGGCCTTCTTATAAGGTTCCAAACGGCGCAAAATGGTCGGAAATTCGGGGTCAGACCGCTGTGCCATCATGTCAAGATCACACTGCAACATGCCCATGACAAACAAAGCGCAATAGTAGCCGTCCGCGACATACAAAAAGTAGAATGTCAAGCCTAGCATGCAGCAATGGCGAGCACGGGTGGTGATACGCGCAAATGACAGGAGGGCGCTGAAGACGACGATAGAGCCCCGCATCTCGAGCGGGATGGACCAGAGGTGGTTGTTGTAAGTGACCCAGATGAAACCCTCTTTAAAAACGAAGCTGAAGTTCTTGAACTCCACATACCAATTCCACCATTCATCAAATATGCTGCCCTGTTGAACACAACACGAAGTCCATATGCCGAAGACGTGCCATGAAGTGACATAGACAAAAGTGGTGACGATAATGGGAAAGTAAAGTCGAATCCAGCGGCGGAACATGGATGAGGCCAGGTTGTCGAGGAGGCGGACATGCTCACCAGCATGAATGAGGGACAATGGCTTGGCGGCGAGCACGTAGCCAGAGATGACATAAAAGGTAGCTACGGCCATGTGACCACCAGTAAAGAAGTTTCTTACACCAGGCAGTGTCGCAAAGCGGTACTGGCCATTATAACCATAAGCATTTTCGAAGATTTGGTCGTCCCCGAGTAGGCTGGCTGCGTGCGCCCAAAGCTGGTGATGATGTATGTAGACGAGAAAGGCGGCGAAGCCGCGGAGGCCATCTAGATAGGCTGTGGGTCGTAGGCTCCGTGGGCCTGAACCGCTAGCAGTTCCGCTTCCAGAAGCTCTGATGCCACCACTGTCTGCATTTGCTGCCGGCCAGAGCAGTGTCCGTAGCCACCGTAATTTTCGTTTGGCGGGGGTGATGATTGCACCGCTGGTTTCCCAGGTGGCAGATTGCCACGGCATGAGCTCCCGTGTCTGGCTAGCCATGCCGTCACGATCGAGCAGGCCGTCTTCTAGATTCGAAGGCATTGATGAGAGGAACAGATACTAAGCTAGGGTGTCGCGTCGATTCGTGTGGGGTGTGGGGTGTTTAAAAGAATATCGCATGCGGCCATCAAGAAAGGAGAAGGATAGAGAGTGGCGGACCAAGAAGCGAACAATGGTAAAAGAAGAAGAAAAAAAGAAAAAAAAGGCGTGGCTGGGTTGGATACTGTGTACTTCGTAAGGAGTGTGTACGATGGTATTCCGCGATACCAACATTCGCACAAGGAAGCGAAGCAAACAGCCGAAAGATCGACGCTAAGGATTTTACGGCACACCAGACACGTAACTCCGTCTCACTATAACGTAAGATACATTGCAAAATTTATTTTCGTGATGAAACAAAAAATAACAAAAAAAAATACGAGTGTGAGTACTTGTACGGAGTAGGGCATTATGGAGTACGACGTACGGAGTACATCCCCCTTGATACCCCTGTTCTCAAGTCACGGGTTGGTGCTAGTGTTCATTTTTGTGGCAAATAGCAGACATTTACGAGTGAGGGTGGAGCCCAGGTCCGGACGAGCTGTCATTCCAGGATCAGATTGCGGCAGTCATTCGATACACTCTTCTGTACGGAGTATGCACGGAGTACTCTGTACATCGATAGAGTTGTACATAGTATATTTGTTCGCGTTCTGGTGCACAGAGTACGTTACGAGTAAGGACAAGACTGACTGACGCCAAATCGGATGCAGATGAAAGAGACGCAGACGGCGATGAGATTATAAGACGAACGTGTGAGAGGTTCTCCGTAAGCACGTAAATCTAACTAGTGCTAATAAAACAAAGACATTTTTATCAAGAATAATCAGTTACAAGAAGAAAAAGGAAAAAGATGATACCATGTATTCTACGGAGTACGTCGTACGGAGTAAGAAGAGAAAGAGAAAGTACGGAGTACGGAGTAAAGCTGGATTAAACGCAAGACCTAGTTCTTCAGTTCCCACCATCTTAGAGTCTCCCATCTTATCACAAGAAACAAGATTATCAGCAATGTACGGAGTCTCTTACGAAATATGTATGTATCTAAGCATGATTCCTATCATGTACGGAGAAACATACATAGCTCCTACGAGTATCCTACGAGCACGGAGGATGTACGGGGTACTCCCCGACTTCTTGTTGTGAATTCGTTTGAAACGCCTGGCATTTTAGTGTTTCTTGGTCAGTTGCACTTAAATTGCGGATCAGGGAAGGACACCAGTGTACTCCATACTCGTACATAAATCTTTAAAGAGTCTCCGTACACATCACCACAGTATGTATCTTACTACGTAGTTAGAAAGATAAGTCTACATTTTAGTAGCATGAATAGTATCCAGCGATACCGAGTAATCGGCCGTAAAACTGCTGTGATTGGCCACTTCTCTCTGGCAGATCCAGATAAGTGCGGAGTACTCTGTACGAGTACCTATCTTGCACAAAGACGCTTTTCTACATTCTCGTAATCCGTATGGAATAAGGTCATGCACTGGCACTTACTATGAGTGGTGCTTATGACACTTAAGTGCGGATACATCATTTTACTTGTGAACCACGAGCTTCGCAAGACATCTACGACGTACGATATGTACTTCGTATCTCGTAAGGAGTTCACTTACGCAATACTTGCGCGAGGTTGTATGCATGAGTGAGAAGAGTAACAGAATACGGAGCAGCAGTACTACTCCGTACGGAGTAAGTACGGAGTACGGTAAAAGAAATAGACGCACGTGCTCCCTACTCGGGACTTGATCGTAACACGTCATCTTGTATTCGTGAAATGCACGGCTGCATGCGTCTTATTCGTACGACGAATATTACATATTATAGTACGTCGTACACAGCAGCGACCAACGATCGATGCGGCTGCATGACCGTACTTGTGCTAATATCACTGACTGCTAGAGTAAGCGGGAGTTCGTACCTATGTGAGCATTTAGACTTATCTACGCCTGCATGCCGATCGTCGTCCTGAAAGTACTCCGTACTAGGGTGCATACTCCGTATGTACTCAGTACTCAGTACTTTTTTTTCCAGATTCACACGTACTTCGTATCTTACATAGTAAAGGACACTGTTCGGCCGCTGAGCGCAGACCACATCTATTATATCGCTGTGTTTTTGTTCATGCAGATTACAAACGGCTCGGCACATGCTACATATGTGCAGCCAACACTGGAACGGTGCTGAGGTATTACCCAGTTTGCCGCTTTTTTGGGAGTCAGCCATCGTCGCTGCTCGCAGGATCCGCTTGCTGTTTTTATGATAACCCAGGAATGCCTACGCGTGCGGAGTACAGAGTATGTACTCCGTATCTTACATATGACGTAGTTGGGGTTTGAGCGAATGTGGCCTAGCCCTCCTCCGCTACACCACTCGACCAACAAGGATCTTGATTAGGAAGGGTGTCTGTCTTGGCATTTTCCTTGTCTCCACGCACCTGTTATTTACACACCCGCCTCCCCTTTTCATTTGCGTCAGTGATGGGCATTGGTACAAAGCTTGTGAAAACCCTTCTGCAATCTTCTTGGTCGGCCCCTTTTTTCTCGCTCTGCTCCTTTTGTTTTCTGCTCTCGAACTCTTGCCGCCTTCTTGGTAAACTGAATCTTGCTCGGCTACGGAGTACGGTTCCGAGCGGCTTCCATCTGTCGTTTCGGCCACATCTCCGCGTTGATATTTTTAAAAGTGCGCCCGCCGTGTCTCGATCCACCTGTCTCCTGAGTTGTTTGCCGTTCCCTCCCACTCTCAATGTGTGGGCATTCCTACAAAGCAGACTAAAGCATTTAGTGCTCTACTCCCACCTCTCTTTCTGTTCCCCCCGTTTTGTCTACCATCGTCTTTTTCTTTGTATCTGCTCGTCGCCTACTTCGGATCTTGGCCACCATGTCCATAGATTCGTCGCGATCATCTCCCCTCCTAGAGAAGCTCACACCACCGGGCTCTCCAAGATCACCGACATCAGCGTTCGCCTCCCAATTTCGGTCACATATTCCGGCATGGGTACCAAATCCAGTTGTGCAAGCCGTTGAGATTGCATCTGTGACGATTTGGCCGATACTGGGCCCTGCGTTTAAAACCATCTATTTGCACCTACTTTCTTGCCTCGCTCTAATCTCTTCTTCTCTCAAACAATTTCGACTTCGCAGAATTACGGCCATCTATCTAGTCGTTGTCACTTTTTGTTTTGTCATCTACCTTGGATCCGGCAGCTCCGATATCCACAGAAAGGTCGCCAACCAGACTGTTCGCAAGCCTGGCCAACCACTTCCGGGCCAATACAGACCTCGGTTAGATTTTCCTCACAAAATATGGCAAACTTGGAAAGTCAATCCTCTGGAGTTTGAACAACGTGACAGGGACACGTCACATTCTTGGTTGGAGCGCAACCCGGACTATCGCTTTGAAGTGCTCACTGATGGCAATGAACTACCGTATGTCGAGTACCATTTCGGACCCGAGGGCTTCAACCGTCCGGATATCGTCGATTTCTACCGCAATGTCCGCGCCACCATAGTTCGCGCCGACCTCCTGCGCTACATGATTATGTACGCAGAAGGTGGTGTGTATGCTGACATAGACGTTGAGGCTATAAAGCCTATGTCGAGGTTTATACCGGACCGCTACAACGTGCGTGACATCGATATGGTTGTTGGTGTCGAAATTGATGAGCCGGATTGGAAAGACCACCCTATTCTGGGTCCAAAGTCCCGTTCTTTTTGTCAGTGGACATTCATGTGCAAGCCGCAAATTCCTGTTATGATGCGCCTCATCGAACAGATTATGCACTGGTTGAATGGCGTCGCGCAGCGGCAGGGTGTATCAATATCGGAAGTTGTTTTGGACTTCGATGAAATAATCACGGGCACTGGTCCATCCGCTTTCACTGAAGCCATACTGGATTATATAAACGAAGGACGTGCCGGCAATAATCTGGTCTCCTGGGACCATTTTCATGACCTCAGCGAATCAAAGCTTGTCAGTGGTGTACTGGTGCTCACAGTTGAGGCCTTCGCTGCTGGACAGGGACATTCTGATTCTGGAAACCACGACGCCCGTGCCGCCTTAGTCCGGCACCATTATCACGCTTCTAACTGGCCTAGCCGGCATCCTCGTTACAGGCACCCAGTGTATGGCGAGGTAGAGAAGTGCAACTGGAACGACGACTGTGTCCATCAATGGGATGCAGATGTTGCGGCATTTAAGAACCTGCCAGAGAACGAACAACGTCGCCTTATCGAAGAGCACGAACGTCAAGAGAAGGAAAAAGAGGAGGAGGATAGACGAAGACTAGAACAACAGGAGGAGGAGGAACGACGCAATCGGGAAGACGAGGAAAATCGTCGTGCAGCCGAAGAAGAAGAGCGAAACAGGCGCGAAGAACAAAATAAGTTGGAAGAAAAGGCAAACAACAAGCCCGCAACTGCGGATGAGAAAAAAACAGAAACCGAGCGCGAAGGCAAGCAGCAACAAACCTAACAATGAAGTCCGCAAAGGCCTACTATCTATTCATGAAGCTATCGTATATGCGAGGTATCGATGTTACAAAAATTTGGAACATTTAGGAGAGAATGGAAACATTCTCATCATGTCCTTTGGATAAGAAGAGTATTGGAGATGGTGGCCCTCAACTAATGACTGTTTTATATACTAATGTGTGGCCTCTGGTTTCCACGATCTCGTTCTTATGTTGGTCTACGATTTGGAAGATGATGGGGGGCGGGGCGGAGGGGAGGCTACTTGCCAGAGTTTCGGTGCACTGCCAATTTTTCTGTTATTTTGTCCATTGTCCATTGTCTGTAAGGGGGGAGAGGGGGGCTTCCGCCCCTTCCATACAAGCCTTGTACCATTTATTTGTTCTTTGGTTATACCTAGTGTCAGACTAGAGGAGTATTTATTTTTGTGATTAGGGTTGCGCGGCGTCTTACGGCATAGAGATATATTAAACAGTGTCTACATACGGAGTACAACCCGACCATCCCTACAAAAGCTGAGTCGACCATTGTGGGTCTATTTGTAGGTCTTTTCAATTAGTAAACCTTGCCAAAAAAAAATTACTGCCTTAGGCTCGTCTTTTATATCTTATACTATACTAAGGGGTAGTATAAGTGCTGCGAAGGCGATGGTGTTAGGCAGGGTTATAAAATCAGTACTTTAGTCTAGTTAAAGCCTAACTAATTTAGACCAAATCTAACTAATACTAATTAGTACTTTAAAAATCTTAACTAATACTAGGACTAAGACTAATAACTAAATAGACTAATTAGTTAACCAATTAGTATTTACTTCAAGAAAACTTTAATAAAACAACTATAAATAACTAAGTAAATAAGTAACTAAGTAACTAAATAACTAAATAATTAAATAACTAGTAACTAAATAACTAAAAATATATTTAATCTTCTTTAAATCCCAAGTTCTTCTTAAGCTTATTATTAAAGTCTTTAATTTTCTAACTCTTTAATAAAAGAACCTTTTTAACAGTCTTTAAAAATAGCTTACTCCTAAGTTTAGTAATAATATTATTACTAATAAAAAAACTTTAATAGCAGCTAATGTAGCTAGAATAGCTAAGTACTACCTAGCTAATATGCTTAAAATGGAATATTTTAAAGTATTATTAGCCTAGTATATTAAAGAATTAGTCTAATATTAAGTAAGCTTTAGTTAATTATTTTATACTTTATATTAATAGTTTATAACTTACGTTTTAGCCTTTCTCTACTTTTATAAGGTATAAAATATGTTTCTTTTTTATATTAGTCTTTGTCCTTTTTTAAATCTAAATTGTTTTTTAAATTGTTATTTAAATTATTATTTAAATTATTATATAAGCCTTTATTTAGTTTATTAAAAGATATATTTATAAGAAAGCTATTAACCTTATTTTTAACCTTTAATAAATAGTTAGTTATATAAAGTAAGTATTTATAAGGGATATATATTATGTATAGTTATAAAGGCTTTTAAACTGGTTTATACTATTATATTAAGACTTTAACTTAACAAACTATAAAAGACTAGTAGGCAAAAGCTTATAGTCTAATTTATACGTAAACAAAAGGTGCGTAATAGCGCAACCTTATAAGAGTATAGCATAGTAAAGTAGCTATACACTACTCTATGCATGTATTATAGTAGTTTGTTAAGTTTACCGCTTAGTAAGTAATAGGTTGTAAAACTAGTATATAAGGCATGTGCGTAGAATACCCTTATACTATCTCTTCTTTTTAAAGGTAACGCCCTTATTAGTAATAAGTGTATACACGGTAGCTGCTTACTTATTTAAAAAACCTTCTTTAGTAAAGTTAAGAAAAAGAGTTAAGTACTTTAGGTTATTAGCTATTACTAAGCAGTTATAAACTACTTACTATATAACTGCATTTTTATAATATAAAAGCGTATATATACTGCTTAGTTTATAGCAGAAGTAATTGCCGAATCTAGCTTAGTAAAAGGGCTATCTTATTTTATTAAAGCTTTTTAAAAGGTATAAAGCTTAAATCTTAAATAAAAAACACTTAGGTTATTGCTAATAAGGTATTGTAAAAAGGCTAGCCTTAAATACTAGTTATATAAGAGTGTATAGCGTGCCAACTAAAAATACTAGTATATAACTAAGACTTTTAACTTGTAACAAGCTATAGCTTAATATAAGTCCTCGGCTCTACTCTTAGCCTAGAATAACTAGGTTAGCCAAGCTACGTAACCCGCTACGCACCCTATAAGAAACTACGGTAAGATACCTTGATTAAGCATAGGAACTAAGAGGCACCAACAAGCTTCTACCTCTTGGCTATAGACTACTCTATGCTATGCTTGCTAGTAACTTACTTAGGTAAGAAGTAAGAGCTAGTTAAAAGAGACTTAGTAAGGTATAAAGAAACGGAAGGAGCTACTCAAAAAAAAAAGGTAAGCTTACGTATTTAAATATCTTTCTTCTTTTTTAGCTTAGTTTTTAACTAGTTTAACTTACCTAACAGTAACTTTTCCTATTAGGCTAGACCCTTATATAAAACTAAGCTTAATTCTTTAAACTTTTTAAATACTCTCAAACTCTTAGTACTTTTTAAAGCAATCTTTTAAACCTTTAAACCTTAAGCTTTTATTATACTTTTTATAACCTTTAATATACAAATCTTATCGATAACTACCTTAGAAATACTTAACCTTAAAGCCTTAGTTTATAGCTTTTTTATATACTAACTTTATCTTAAATTAAAGCATTTTTTAACTTTTTAAAAGTAAAAGAAGACTCTCTTTTACTTTAAACCTACTATAAATCTTTTTATAAACTAGACTATTATATATACCTTTACTAGCCTTTAACTTATAAGTAGTACTATAATAGCTGCTATACTAAAACTAAGAACTAGTAGCTTACTTAGTGTAAGGGTTGGTGTGCAATGCGTGGTCACGAAGGCTTAATTAGTTTGTACTGTTGTATTAAGACTTCAACTTAACGAACTATAGGAGACTAGTAGGCGAAGGCCTGCCAGCTAATTTATACGTGGCTAGAAGATGCGGTGTCGCGCAACCCTAGTGGGGCGTGGCACAGCTAAGTGGCTGTGCTAGTCCCGTGCAACGTGTCAAGATAGTTCGTTAAGTCCGTAGCTTAGTAAGCGACTAGTTGCCGAACCGGTGCGTAGGGACGCGTGTGTGGAATACCCTTACACTTAGCTACTCTTAAGCACTTTATACCTATAGCCTTCAGACGTTTACTTATTATACTTAGTTTAAACACTCTTTTTAGCTTTACTTTTACCCTTACTCTTACTTTTACTCTTACCTTTAACGTTTACTTAAAAAATACTCTTTTAAATATTCCTTATTTTTTTAGCAAAAGGATTATAAAGTATAGTCTTTAAGCGTAAAAAGCAAGATCTAAATTAATAGCCTTACTATTAGCCTTCTTACCTTTTAGTTTATATACCTTTTTACTTATTTAAACTTATAAGCTGCCTTTTTAGTAGCCTTTTTTATAAAAGCAACGTATAAAAAAACTAAAACCTTAACTTCTTTATAGCTTATTTAAACTCTATCTTTACTAACTTAAACCTAGCCTTTTAATCCTTAAACTAACTTTATACACTAAATTAATAGCTTGCTAAGACCTTTACCTTATTTGTACTTTAATTTAAATACCTTCTTACTAAAGCTAGACTAGTTTTTACCTTTAAACTAGTTAAGAAAGGCTACTTAAAGAAAGCTCTCTTACTAAACCTTTACTATACCTTAGTTGCTACTTAAATCCTTAATAACTATTAAGGATATATATATTAGCTTTTTATAGTTAGCTCTTACCTTAACTTTTTAAGTTATATAGATTAAATCTAGCTTAAAAGGTAAGGCCTTAAACAATCTATTTTAAAACTATAAACTTAAACTTACTAGTTTATACTATAGTAGGCTGCTTATTTAGTAAAGAAAAAGACTACTATTATACTAAAGGCTTTTACTCTTATTATAGTAAAAATAGCTACTTAGAATTTAACTATTTTGAACTATAATTTACTCTTTTATACTTTTATCTTATAAAAGCTAAAAAAACTTATTATAAAGAAACCTACCCTTACTATATTTAAATACCTAAAACCCTTTAAAGTATTTAAATTAAAACTAAAGTTAAAAAACTAAGTACTTATAAGTTAAGTTTTACCTAAAAGCTTATAAAGATAAAAGCAGTAAAAAACCTAAAATCTAAGCGTAGAATATATTTAAACAAATTCTTAAAAAAAACAAATATATACTTATTTATTAACTTTAGCTACCTTTACTATATTACTATCTTTAAGCAACTAGTATTCTACTTAAATCTAACTACCTTTTTAATTCTTTCTTAACTACTTAAATAAGTAGCCTTTTAAAAAAACCCTTTTATTATTAATAAGGTATTTACCTTTATACTTCACGTTAGTAGGTTTTCATAAAATACTTTAGCTTATAATATCCTTAAGTAGTTAGACTTTATAATCCTTAGCATTAGCTAGCTAGTTAAGTATAATACTTCTTTTTACCTTACTTTAAACTAAATTACTCTTTAGAAACCCTTTTCAGTAACTTTAAAAAGTATAGTACTCTTAGCTACTACTATCTTAACTAAGCAAATAAAAAAGTACCTTTATATAAAAGCCTTAAAGCTATACAATATTACCTTAGATAATATTTAAGCTACTTTTTATAAAAAGATTTATCTTAACCTTACCTTTAAAGCCTTAAACTTGCTAGTCTTAGCCTTAGCTGCTTTTAACTAAGAAGAAGCTGAAAAGCTCTTTTTAAACTACCTTATTTATAATTTTAAAATTAAACTTTAAGATAGCCCTATTATACTAGCCTAGCCCTTATACTCTATATTATAAAAAAAGCTTCTAGTACTATACAAAAACCTTTTAAGGTTAAAAGCTTAAGGTTTTATTTGTCTTTTATTCTTATCTACTACTATACCTATTCTTTTTATTAAGAAGCTTAGTATGAGACTT